ATAACATACCCCCAAAGCCCTATTCTAGTGAACAAGGCCCTTGTATGATTCTCTTGCTTTAAGCCCAGTACCCTGGCCCCAAAAAGTTTAAACTTTTCTTTTAGTAGGGGGCTTAATATACCAAAAAGTTTAAAGTTTACCTACTGGGCTCCTAAGTCTTCCTAAAGCCGGCAGCCTGTATCCTCAGCCCCTGTGCCGGTTTCCACGGATCTTGCATTCGAATCCTACTTGGAGGGTCGGGGGACTTAGCGGTTTAGGGTTTAGGGTTTTAGGGTTTAGGGTTTTAGGGTTTAGGGTTTAGGGTTTAGGGAAGTAGATTGGGACCTCATGCCCTAAACCCAATACGCGCAACCCCAGGCCGTAACTTCAGGCCACACAAAAGCTACCATCCACGTTCTTCACACGCCCGGTGGGGAGGTCAGTTTGGGTTCCTTCCTGAGGACATGAGGAGTACGATCCCAACAAAGATGCCTAAACCCTAAACCCTAAACCCTAGACCCTAAACCCTAAACCCTAAACCGTAAACCCTCGACCCTAAACCCTAAACCCTAAACCCCAAACCCTAAACCCTCAACCCTAAACCCTAGACCCAAACCCTACACCCTAAACCCTACACCCTAAACCCTAGACCCTAAACTCAAAGCCCCCGTCTCTGCCGACGAAGCTCCTGTCATGTCTAACTGCGACTGTAGCTCACTTTCATACACGAACCTTAGGGCCCATGTAGATCAGGATGTTTTGGGGGATTTTTATAGTACGATTGGAAGGAGGACTCCTCAATCCTAAAGCCCACCATACCCTAAACTGAGGGTATAGGATTGCCAATTATTCAGGCTTCCCCAGCACTTGCCTTCTGCCAAAGCTGTCGATCTGCAGTCTGCTCTTGGAAAGCAAGTTCGAAGACCTGGGTTTAGGGTTTATGGCTTGGGGGTCGAGCTTTTACTTGCTTGGGTTTGGTGCATATCCACTCTAGGTCAACACGCTGAAGTTTTAAAGTTTGGGTCGTTTACCGGGTTTGTTGTGAGGGTTTCATGTGCTGTCAATGGGTTGCATGGAGTCATGAAACTCCCATAGAGTTTGTGCATCAGCCTTCCTAAAGCTTACAGAAATTGCTGTGAGTCATCTAGCTTTTACTCTAGTAAACTCTACGCAAAATCGCCAAAGCTGGATCGTAGTTTTGAAGAAGCTCCATTCTACAGCACATGTTTGCTGTTGACATGTTTTGCCTGTCAATATCAGAAAGGCGCTATGTCTTAACTTAGGGAACCCCATATCCTCGAACCCCATCCCAGCAAACAAATTTGACTTAGGGTTTTAGGGATTCTTTTCGGGGAAAATGCTCCCGCACCTTGTCCGGATTTTGAAGATGCTGCGCTCGAGCCGAGTGGAACACGCCTGGCGTCGGGTTTCATTCAGGGGCCACTGCTATGCTTCTGCCGTGGTTTGATAATGTCAGAAAACAAGGGGCCCCCAAACCCGAAATGATGGATCCATAATGTAAGGACA